ATTGTTTGAATGGACTTTTGAGCTTGAATACTGTTCTTTATCACCATTTTTCATGATATGAATTATTTCCCGCTTATGCATGGCATGGGGGGATCTAGATGGGCTTCGGTTTTTAAGGTCCCAGCCGAAAGACCATTGACTTTCAATGCCAAAGAAATAGTCGCTTTCTACATCTATTTAAAATATCTCGGTTTGGCACGGCACCAGAAAGATTGAACAATCAAACGCTGAGCTCCCACATACGAAGCTCCCGCGCACGAAGCTATCTCCCATAGACACTAGGCTACTGTGATCAGTGCCGCAGTTATTAAGAACTAATTTTTAAGTGCAATGATATCAAATTTTTAAAAATAGCCATCCAATAAATGGGAGGTCAACATTACCGCTACATTGCGAAAAATTTCAACTCATTACCGCTACATTTCTTCGAATTTTTAGGTGATCATTACCGCTACATTTTATCAAAAAGACTTTTGTCGATTACAATTCATTACCGCTACATACACCAGCAATGGCACGGAATATTAGTTCTCTTCAATATAGTTCATCCACAATGTAGTGACGTAGAATTTGGACCTGTGTTCTAAATCAATATAACCATTTAGTCTGTAATCTAAATACAATAATTATTACTTAGCGTCGGTTGAAAGTGCTACTATTAAGAAGTTTGTGAAAAATCGCGGCAATGCAGGATTAAAATTTTCTGAAATGTTTTAATATATAAAATAGATTTTAATTATAAATTTTTTTAAAAAAAAATGGGGGGGGGGGGGAACAACAAAAAACATCCTGCATGCTCAAAGCCCTCTTTCATCTTCTCACGGTGAGCAGGGGAAATAGCTCTTATGCATGTACATGCTGTACTATAAATTTGTACATGCAAAATCTGGCTACGAAAGAGGCAATGTAGCGGTAATGTATACTTTCAAATGTAGCGGTAATGTAACCTTTTTTGTAGCGGTAATGAGTTTGTAGCGGTAATGACAATTTTGAAAATGTAGCGGTAATGATACGCACCCCAATGAATGCGGGTTTGTGACAACGTTTTAGGGGGGTATTGATATTTGGAAAAACAAGAAGTTAGAATACAGCTAAAAAATAAAACATTATAAATGTGGTTCTGATACTCCTCCATACTTACTCATAATCACAAACGTCTAGACTTTACATTTGTAGACTCGTGAATTGTCTTTGTGTTCTAGGCAATATAGATAGCAGAAAACATGTAGAGCCACTGAGGAATGAAAGGATACACGTTTAATGTCTTGTTTATTACAAGTAGACGAAGTGTACAAGTATGATATCAAGCGGGGCAAATCACAGTAAATTCTGAAGTTGTGTGTTCGGAACTACATACTAAAATTAATCGAAAATACCTACTTACATGTGCAGACTATGAACCTGCTACGACTGCAAGTTCGGATTTGGATATTTGAACACGATTACCCTCCATACTTTAGCACCCTTTTTTCGTGACGGCTGCCCTTTTCCTTCTTTTGTTCAGAAGAGGATCGAGCGTGGGAGGGGGATCTCCTTACATATATGTAGTAAATGAAATAGTACCCTCCAAGGTAACACGGATCCCTTGTTAGATTTTTAAGTTTATGATATGGGGGTAATCGGCTAGTCCTTCAGAAGTTTCATTACCCCCTACCTCCTTAATATCCGTTTTTGTTTCTTTTTGTTGTTTAGTTTTTGTGTGTTTGTGGTTGTGTTTTGTCCTTTTTTGCAAACCTTTCCAGTAAAGAAACTAAAATATATACCGGTGTATTGCGATTCGTTGACAAACTGGAATGTTCCAAGGAACACATGTGTCGTCTGCTTTGTAGTTTCCTTAAAGATGTAAATAAATCTTAAAGTGGTCAGCTATATTTTACTATTAGCATGATAGTTTATGCATTCGCTTGCAAAGAAAAAATGACATCCATGGATTAGTATAAGATTGCAATAGAATCTGACAAGAAAATGTTGTTCCCTAACCCTCAAATGAATAATTAAATAGAAATTATTAGAAATGACTACTAGCATCTATCATTTATTAATACGTGTTTCTAACCATCCTCCAAAGAGATTTCTGTCTGTATTTGCTGCAATATTGTCAGTCTACATGAAAACCAATCCTGGTGTATTTTTATAGTATTTGAATACAAGTTTATATGGTAAGCGAATACGATACAGTTTCAAAGCACTGTATCATAAGCTCAACGTGTTTTCAACAATCCTCCAAAAGAGATCAGTTTGTCTTTACTGCAACTGTCAGTCTACAGGATTGTAATGCTGCATGGTATTTTGCATAATATCTTATGACAAACAGCGCACAAGCTAAATAACATAGACTTACCTCTTAAATGTCCAAAATATTCCGTATATCGGCACTATGATCTATTATCGAAAAGTAGATCAAAGGTTAAGGGTCACGAGGTCAGTAACCATGGTAATTTACAAAAGCCATAGTACCAAGCAATATATACTGTACGAGGGTTGTCCCAGAAAAACGCGAACTTTTTAGATATTTCATAAACTATTTGACCAAAACTAATAATTTTTTGCACTTTGTTTGAAAATGATATTTTCGGTATTTTGACAAAATATTTTAGGCTTGTGATATCATAAGTATATAAAAACAGCATTTAAGGGGTGTTAAATATCGGTGGTCGGCGCACGGCAATTGTTTTTACTTTTAAAAGTAGCATTGTCAATGAAGTTTTCTTTATTACCAGGCTATACGGAAATATAATGTCGCAAAAGTTACCTCCATGAATACTCTTCGATCTGGTGTACTCGTGTATAAAAATTCATTAATTTGACATCATTAATGACAAATATATGACGTTATATGCCAAAACACTTGTAATTAGATATTGTCAAAAATGGTGACGTTTGGCGATAATGCGGAGCACCATATTATTAAGCAGTACTGTGTTGAGCGGGATATGACTCCTATCCATACGATAAAAGAGATGTTAACGATGGAAAAACAGAAACATAAATCTCGGACACAGGTTTATCCCTAGTTGAAGAGGTTTAAGGATGACTTGACTGGTTATCCAATAGAAGAGGCGTTTTGTAGACCAACAAAAATGAAGACAAACTGAAAGTCAGGAGCTGGACATCATAGGCCTAAGTGAAGGCCGCCGTTAATCAATGCGAACTGTTAGGTTTATTATCGGGATTGAGAAATATTGTCTATTAAAAGAATTAACTCTGCAATCTTTTGGTAACACTAGTATTTGAGATGTATAACTTGGTAAATAAAAGAAAAATTAAATACAGTGTCGAGTTTATGCTTAAACGAATTTTATCAGAAGCACATTTCCAGAACATATTCACAAACGCCACGAGCTATGTTTTGACGTCGTCAGTGTTGCGCCGACAACTGATTTGCAAGATTCGTTTACTTGAGAGAAAAATGTTATTTATGGAGATATTTAATTGAAATTTTTATGCATTATTCAAAAAATGTTGATTATAATGTATGCCAATTTTTAACTTTATAGTATTAGTGAAACAAAAAATATTGAAAATGTTCGCGTATTTCTGGGACAACCCTCGTATATGTGCAAAATATCAAATCCGTACCTCTTACAGTTCTCGAGATAAAGGGTGTGACAGACGGACAGACAGACCGGGTCAGTTGATCCCTGAGTGCAGCTCTGCAGGCGACACAAAATGTCGTATTGTGATACTTTTCTTAAGACCGATAATACGACCAAAATGCTTCGTGATAGGGAGGCCCAGGTTCGATTCTCGTTCGCTGTGCAGCGTCAAACGTAAAACGTTTACATAGTTAGTATTCTAACTGTTCCTTCGCCAAGCGCCCTGCACTAGAAATCAGGGTTCTTTCGGTGAAACTTAATAAACCGAGGTCCCGTGTCACTACTGCTCAATGGCCCTGGGCGCTGCGTTTAGGTTTAGGCGTCTTTACTCATCACTACCACACACCTACCTAGTTTATCTAAAGGGAAGAGAGAACATATGTGATCATTGGAGTCACACTCTTACATCAGAACCCCTAATCTGGGACCAAAAATATCACAATTAAGGAAAAGACACTTTTTCTCAACATTACCACGCACCTAGTTTATCTGATATATATATATATGTGGGAAGCAAGCAAAAAAACATACAACATACATTGTATAAGATGGTAGTATTAGGAAGTGGTGTTAAGGAGGGAGAATGTACTTTGCTCCCCAGCATACATTTAAGAGTATAAAAAAAAATTAGGAGACGTAAAGTCTCTGGGCCTTCGCCGACTACCCCACCAACCCTGGGATGAACGCGTATCTCATTTCTGAATTAAAGTTTTACAGTAAAATTTGTCTAATCCGGACACTACTGATTCCATAGAAAATGGCCGGATTAGACAACACTCCGGATTAGACAACATTTAAAACAAATGAATTTATTGAAATGGACTTAAAGTTAACATCATATTAAGCAAGACTTCGGATTTTACATCCGAATTAGACAAGTTTTATTTGTATTATATAGTATAGTTAAAAAGTAGGGGGTCAGATTTCTATGGGGGTCATTTTTCAACGTGTGTGGAGTCGTAGAATTACCGGCCTGGAAGGTTTTCTACGGTCGAAAAATGACCCTACTTGCAGTAGAATATTGACCGGGGGTCACTTTCCACGTAGATATTTGACCTCCCGGTCAATATTCTACGGGGGTCACTTTTCGTCGTTACACCGGAATTAATTCATATTTTATGAGGAAACTTGTATACTTTATATACTTATAGTTATTTACCCGTTTTTTGCGGCCAATCCTTAACAAATCTTCTACATCTTGTTTCTGGGAATAGGAGGAATAATCGGAAAATTAACATTTAACAAACAAACAAAAAATCACCAATTAAATAAAAGGTAGTGAACCCCTCCACTTGATCTGCGCTTATTATTGACAAAAACGAAATTTTCAACCATTGCCTGAGTCAGACAACAAGCTCTCTAAAATGACAAATAAAGAAAAAAAACAAACTCATTTTTTTTAATTTTGACAACAAAAACATCATGCAAGTACTATATACAAAAAAGCATAGTAATAAACAAGTCTATGAGAAACCATGCATCTCTCTCTGTCTCTCTCAATGTCCATCACTATTTTTACAAAAGAAACCAAAAAATAATAATGGTGAGTCTAACCATATTAAGGCAAATAAAACTTTGTCAAATAAGGGGAAAAACATCCGCAAAGCATGCAGCAAATGTGATTTATGTAACATTGCCTATGAACAGTCACACCCAGAGCCCTGCAACAATGCAATGCAGAAAAGGGGTATAGCGCTGATCACAGCCTGAGCACAGTGGCACTGAGATGGTCATATAAAAATATTATGTATAGTCACACACATAGATCCACATTAATGCGAAAGAAAAGATGCGTGTTGTACAAAACACTAGTACAAGCACAGCCAGTGCATGGTACTATGATGGTTTGACGGTCATTATGTCTCTGATTCTTGCAAACTACATGTATATTTGCGCCCAGGCCTACAAGAAAAAAGAAAATTGTATCAATATTTAAAATGACATAAAAACTAGAATATTAATCAAATTTTACAGATTGAGAAAAGGGACAAATGGAGCACCTAAGGACTAAATTTGGTCAGGTATATGAAAAGAAAACCCTGATCAGCTAAATCGAGATAGTTTAGAACTTTTAACCTTACTGAAAGTGTTATCAAATTTTAGACAAGTTTCACAAGTGAGCCTACCATCTATAGATGCGTCTGTCAACAGTACATAATATTTGCAGATAAACTAGCGCGTTTTCTCTGATTTATTTTCAGTAATGTTTACAAAATCTTGTGTTGTATAAATTAATCTTACTGTTAAATTTAAGTACTCTAAAACACTTATTTCCATGGGACCAAATTTTCGAGGTTTGATGGAAAGATATTGGTTCGTTGGGATTTTATTTCGTGACTGGAGAAGAAACGTGTAGTTTTAGATTTTAACACTTCATGGGGGATTTTCATACCATGAAAACAAAAACCCACGAAAATAAGTGAACTCACAGCTCTCAAACGACTTGCAGGGAGGCAGAAAAAAAGACAAATGTAAGAAAGTATAAAAATCTTTTATCACATCTAATATATTGGTTCAACTCACTAAAATCAGTCTCCTCTCTAGTAGACGTAAAAAGAGGAATCTAGGTCTTGTTTCTTGGAGACTTTATGACGTCTCGAGCTCTGTTGTGGTATGTTACGACGCATGGATCTGTGCTCAAAATTGACTCTCGCCAACCACTCCATCTGTTAAAGATAATCATCGTAAATTATAGTTAAATGTGAATTACAGCCTTACAAGAAAAAAGGAAATAAAAGGTCCCCCTTACTTTATAGTTTATACATCTTGTATGTGCGAAACTATGCCTTACGTTCGACAATATGAGGTGCGACCCGTACCTGATGTGTAGGTTGAGGTATGGTAGGTAGCTCCCTACGCTCCTCAGACTTGTTGATGGCATGTGTCAACTCATACTAATAAAAATGAAATATTCTTTATTTCTTATAAAACATAAAATCATTCACATGTGTATATAACCAACAGAGAAAAATACGCATTTATGACTGGACATTAACACATACAGACATACATGTATATATTTTGATGTTTTGTATTTTTATAATTATACCCATTTAGACTCTTACCCAGTCTTTAATGTGCTCTCTCCATTCGTGAGCAGCAGAAGTAAAGACTTGTTTGCACTGGAGAGAAATTATAGAAACTAAAGCTACTAGTATTCACTGAGAGAGAGAGAGAGAGAGAGAGAGAGAGAGAGACTCAGAGAGAGAGAGAGAGAGAAGACTTACAGCTGATTTGGCCGCCAAGGCAAGCATCACCTCGTACCACTGACGACTGTCATCTGAAGAGACGTCTATACGGCGCTAGTATTAAAAGAAAGAAATATCGGTTATTCTAAAGAATTGGAAATTATAAACATTTTGCCCTTCCTAACTTTACTGTCAGGTACATGTAAATATATACATATCAAATACTGCACATCAGTATGTATTATTTATAGTTTAACAGTTGAAAACAGCATTTTTTGTTACTTCATTTCAAGTCAAAATAAAAAACATGTTCACTTTCCATTAAAATATGTCCATTTGAACTGCAAGCAAAATTATAATTTCTTTGGTTTTGTTTAAAAAACTGACCTTTATTTGCAAAATAAATATATTTCAATTTATTAAGATTATACTGACAATTGAACAACATACATCATTATGGTCAAAACTTGCAGTTGTAAAAACTAGTTAGCAATATTAGCTGAGCAGCTATATATCATTAGCACTATATTAGCAATATTGACGTGTTTGGGTCATTTTTTTTTAATTTTCATTGAAACCTAAGATATATACCCGGTTATAGAAAAATAGGAAAAATTATAGAATTCTATATTATAAATCAAACAGATTATTGAAATTAAGACCCACCCCAACTTCCAAAAAATTCTCTAAGGGGGACAACTCATTTTTTTCTGTTGCAGTAGAGTGCGCTCCCCTTTGTTTATTTACAGACGATGTGACATTTTTCAAAAGTGATTAAAGATAATTATAAAGGTTATGCTTTATCAACACAATATACTAATGAAGTAAGTATGCATTAAAATTGGTGTGATCTAAATTGGGCTCAGCTGAAAAATTGCAGATTATTTTGAAGAAAAATGCAAAAAATGATTTGTGTACTTATAAGGCCTACCGCATTTCCTCTGTGTTGTTTTGTTTGCTTAGATTTAATGTAAGGGTAGGAGAATGATCTTACAGTATTTCAGTAGATCTTGTATTAAATGCATCCCCTACCCTCCGCCATTGCTTACCCCTTCATATCAATTTTTTATATGCACCATAGCTTATAGATGTATCATGTATTTATTTTCAGTTAAACGCTATATAAATAAATTATAAATCTTGGACAATTTCTCCAACATTTTTACTCGATTGAAATTTTAAAATATGTCAAATGTAAGGAAATATGCAAAGTACATAGCCATCCTCCCTTTGAGGTCTTTGAAATTATGGTTGGCTACTGTATTTCATAAAAACAAGCATTTAAGACCAATAAAATTTTATTTTCTGAAGAATTACCCTCTTAGACACACTCTTGCTCTTTCTCTCGGAAGATCTTTGTCTTTTCATAGTGATATTTGAGATTTTTGTCGCTCTGTGAAAAACACGTCTACTCGCCACTGATCGAAGTGAGTAACTAACAACAGTAACCAAAACGCAACGCTACCTAGCAGTTACCAAGCATGACGTCATCACCAATGACAACGCCTAGTGCTAAATTTGTGAAAAGAAAGTGAAATGATCATGTCTGCTCACTTCGTTGATTTCCTAGAATCTTTCAGTATATTAGAAAAATTAGTCGCTATCCATCATGTTCATACACATAACAAAGTTGATGGTCTTGTGACGTCATAAGGCTGGAAGTATCGTAGCCTAGTTCCCGCCATGCTAAAATTATTCTTACTACAGTAAAAATAAAACACTGACCATTGCTATTACTCAAGTAAAATTACTGTAACTTCAGTAAAACCATTACTGCTCCACTGAAAATCTATACTCCTCTACAGAACTAGAAATACCAGTCTGTGTTTCCATGTTGTAGACATTGGATTCCGTGCGGTTCATGATGAATTACAACTTTGTAGTTGCATAAAACATAAGCTCAGTGGATAATCTGAATCATTCTTTAATTTTCAAAACAAAAAAACAAACAAACAAAAAAACAAAAACAAACTTGTTTTGGATGTTGAATTGCTTTAAAAGACCCTTTTTGCCTGACATTATATTATATGACCAGGACAAAGAATGTTGATCTCATGCCCCAAAGTCCGTCTTTGCCTTTTCCTGTTTTTTTCCCTGTTTTATTTTCACTTTCACTTTGTAGCGTTTTGTGTGTAGCTCAATGTCCAGTTTATGCTTCTTGATTACAACTGATTTTCCACCTTTGTGTCCTTGATCTTCCCTTTGACCTTGACATTTCATTTTATGATTTTGCTTTTAGTTTATGTTCTAGATAGTCTATACAACTTTAGACAAAATTGCATCTTGCTTGTTATTATATCGTCAAATCCAGATACATCTTGTTATAGTCTCTTACACGTGGAACTGGAGTAAACAAGGTTTCCTCACCGTCTGTCGCCAGTCTAGCTGTTCCACTTGGGGTTTCCAGCTCTTTTTCTAAACGGTTGCATATATTGGGCTGATTTTTGGAATGTGAGATTATCTTAATAAGTTGCGGATCGAGTTTGTTTTTCTTTCTTTTATGACTTTTACGCCTATCTATCATTTCACCTTGATCTGACATTATCTGGTTATTTGATGTAATTTTTACACGCGCAGCGCAGTGGCGGATCCAGGAATCTTGAAAAGGGGGGCGACGAGTTTGGGGTCGGGGTAGGTTCGGCCACACCAAAAAAAATTGATTTATTAAATCTTATGTATATTTTCAATACAAAAGGGGGGCCCGGGCCCCCTTCTAAATCCACCAGTGGGGCGTATCAAAAACCATGAGATTGCTTCTGATGTTCTTGAACATTTCTCCCTGGGACTCCTTCAAAATAACTTCTTAAATAAATTGATAAGTCTAAGTAAAAGAGTTTCAACTGAGCGAGGATTGTTTTTCTTGACCAAATGATATATACCTCGGTCGTTGAGTTTCCTGCATTTGCACTTTATTTCAACTTATTTTATTAGAGGTAAATGACATATATTCCTGGTCATCCACGTATTTAGGTCAAAGTCTTGCTAAGTACATTTCAATTCTTCAGATTTCCAAACACTATGATTTTGAAGTTTCATAGTCAAGAGGAAGACCTTTATATCGTAACTTAAGTATAATTATATGATTACATGTACATATTTAAAATTTCTAGTTAAACATCTTAGTTTGCTTGGCTTTGTTCGATGTAACATTCATCAGTTCAAGGTAGAATAACTTGAAAAGTTGAATAACATATAAATTTAGAGTTTGGGATGTTATCGTCTACTAAACAAATGTTACGTACATGTAAAGCTAAACTGTAAATACTCCGACTTCTTTTTTTTATTATAATTTAGCGGTTTATAAAAACACGTACATGTAAATCTAGACTGGAAATACTTCATTTTCATTATAATTTAGCGGTTTAATTATTAAAAAAAAAAGCGTAAACTGTTCCAACCCAGTTTATATACCGTATAAATTGGGTAGCTATTAAATTCATTCCTTATGATTTAATTCTCATTCATTTAGTGTAAAAAAAAAAAATGATCGCCCTTAAAAAATGACTTCAAATTTTACCAAATTTAAATGTAACGTAGGCAACCCAATTTATACGAAAAATCCAATCAAATACAGCGTTAAAACCAGAATTAAATTATATTAAAATATCATGTGTAACATTTTCACTTTTTAACTTGATACATAAACATCTGATCTTGACACCAGAATAGAAGCGAACTTGCACAGGAAAGTTTAAAAAAAAATCAAATTTTAGATAACGACTCTAGGGTTGTTCACAGAGATTATGCATATGTACAAAGAGGAGTAACTCTTTCCTGAAAAACAATCGGGATCGACGTTTCTATTTTCTTGTTACTACGCCGCAATAGTTGTTTACATTCGATATTTTTGAGCGTGTCATAACATAACCACGTTTTCAGGATTAAGCAACTATTGCAGTGTGGGAAGAATATTCTGGAAATAAAGAAACAATACAAGAAGTGTTAAGGTAACAGATACTTCGCTTTTATTTGAAATAAAGGGATTTTTAAAGGTAATTACAGCCTTTACAGGTACTCGGAAAGTGTTTTTGTCCTAATTTTGGTTCTGGCAATAATAATTTTAACTATTGTTAGTATTTTCATTTTATTAAAATCAATCATTATAAAATGTATAGGTACTCTTGAGATATCGTATTGACATATCTAGACATGTCATATTATCGATATATATAAATTTGTAGGATTTGGTAATAATTTTTGACAATGACATTTTTATGCAGTATACACTGCATGAATTAGTACTACTGTAATAGGTGCTGAAATTCAACATGTGAAAAGTCTCAGTTTTAAAATAATGATTATACTTTGATAATATACAAATCTAATTTGTTTATTATTAATTAAGTGTAGGATTTACTCAAGTCTCATTAGTACATAATGGTTTGATATAGACTAAAATTCTGGCAGATGTCCAGTCAGCAGTTTATTACACAATTGTTCATTTGTCCTTTATCATTTTCTCAAACATGATTATAATTGTAGACCTAATTGAAATTATTTAATTCCAACCATTGGTATAGTGTAGACAGTATACAGGGTTGTCCCTAAGAATTGAAATAGGAGGGGACATTAAAAAAGTAGAAGGGTTCTGGGGATCTTCCTTTAACAGAAAGTTGAGGGGGAATACCAGAATAACCGGGGGATAACAAAAATTCCCCGGGTCTTAAGGACAACCCTGGTATAATTGGACTGATACCTCCATCATATACATGTACAGTATACCAAAGACAAGTTGGATCTTCCCAAGATTAATTGATAGTTACATGTATATATGTAATACATACATGTAATTTTAGATGATGGATGTACCATACCTAAATTCACCATATGTTTATTTATTTTTCATATAGGAATAGGAGAGAACAGCAGCAATGCCTCTTATAGAAGAAATCACTTCAGAGCCGTCAACAGGGGGAACATCAACCTCCACAAATGTTCAGATTGAAGTAGTGGACAACCTTCCTCAGCAGACAGGGAAAGGTCAAGGTCAGTGTTGAATTCAATGTATTGTATGAGCTAGTTTAGTTGTTGTACATGTAGCTCTAGAAAATAAGGTAAATTTCATGTCTCAGAAACTTGATTTTTTTTTTTTTGGATAGATATCATATTGTATACAAATGTATTTGTTTTTAGAAACATTAGACAATAGAAAGCCAGATACAGTCAAAGATAAAACAGATAACAACTGTAATGGGAAAGATTCAACAGACAAAGAAAACCAACAGCCGGAGAACAAGAATGACAACAACCAAAAAGAACAGACAGACAAACAGACAACAGAAGACAACAAACAAGTAGTTAGGACAGAAGAGACTAAGACAAGCTGGCCAAGGTATGGACATTTCATAGTCAGAAAGTTTCATATCCACCGCCAGTTGTTTTTGTTGCTTGTTGAAATGACAGGCTCCAGTAGTGATAATGCATTTATAGATATTTTCTATCAGTTCTTAGGATATTTTGCCAGGTTTACATAAGTTTTACTCCAAGTTTATTATGCATAAAACACTTTAATGAAAAATAGCTACCGGTATTTCTGCAAATATATTTCATTTGATATTACTCAAGATTTACAATTTTTACAAAATTTACAAGATTTCAAATTTTTCAGTAGTTTTCTTTTTTTAATTTACCGTTAGTTAATTTAACTTTTAACAGACATTGATCATAAAATTGTTCCTATAAAATCATATATAACCATTTTTCATAGAATAACAAAGAAGTTTCTGAGGCAGCACTGTAAGGACCTGAAGCTCTACTTGACACCTGAACTAAATGACGTTCTTTATCTTCATTATAAAGGTAAGATATTTACAGCATGAATGTACTCCACAACTATTATTCTTAAGAACTTAAGAAAATATCGACATACATTGACATTGCTGTTCATTCCTTATAGGTAGGACATTTTCTAATGAAACTTTCTGGATCTTGGTATTAACTCAGTTATCCCCCTTTGACTCTGACAGATATGTATTAGATGAAGTTGCTAATACTTTCCTTTCTTCTTTTTGAAAGGTTTACAGAAGATTGAAAATTTAGAAGCATACACTGGACTTCGTTGTCTGTGGTTTGAGTGTAATGGTATCAGGAAAATCGAGAACCTAGACCAACAGGGAGAACTAAGATGTCTGTACCTACAACAAAACATGATTGAAAAGATTGAAAATCTGGAGCCCCTCCAAAAACTGGATACTCTCAACCTCAGTCACAATATTATCAGGAAAGTGGAAAATCTAGGTATGTATTTGTTTGAATAGTATCAATGTGAATTAAGTGAAAGATGAAAAAAGATGCACCATTTTAATTGTAACAAGTGCCTACAGAGTATGCTTTTTTTTTCTTCCTCTATCAGTCCCAAAGCTTTGCACAATATGATTCATAATGATTGTACTATATGCTGGACATTTCTTTCAATTCTTTTGCATTTTGTTTTTCTTTCTTTCTTTTTTCTTTCTTTATATTTTTTTAATATGAAGTTTCTCTTATAACTTTTGATGCACATTAAATGGGATTGCATGCTATTTCTAAAATACACAAATAAATTATTCATTTTTCTTCTGGAAATTTTAGATTGCCTCCCAGCTTTGAACACCTTGAATCTTTCCCACAATCGACTAACTGATGCCAACTCCTTAGAACATCTTGCTAAACTCCATACAGTCAGTGTCCTTGACCTTGCACATAACAGAATAGAAGATCCCAAGGTCATTGATGTTTTCGAACAAATGCAGAACTTGGTAAGGATCAGATGTGATATTTGCTTATCTGTTAAATATTATTGTAACTTATAGCAAAGATTAACATGCCAGTGTGACCACCATATATTAATGTATTAGTCTTATTGCAAAGTCTTGGGGATATCGTGAAATTACTTCACTATAAACGTAATTCGTTATATCCGTAAAGGAAATTTGTTAAAGAATATCTAGCAAATTCGCAATATAGATTTTTCCCTTCAAATATGATTACCAAACATACTTTGGGATGTACAATAGCTACCTTGGAGTTCAAAAATTTTTGGATGAATTGAACTTCAAATTTAAAATACTTACAAAAATAGTGTCAGTTCAATATTTTAAATATTGAGATCTTTGAAAATTTGCTATAAAAGTTGTAACATCTAGGAGACACAAAATCAGTTTGCTATATCTGTAAATTTGCTACATCCGAGTTTGTTATATCCATTAAAATTTACAAGGAATTGTAAACAGTTTTGCAGGGGATTGCAAAAAACTTTGATATATCCATAAATTTGCTATATCTACATGTGTTCGTACTAAATGAGTTTAACTGTAATACATCAGTAAATAGTTCTGTTGTTGTTTTTTCTTAATACCTGTTCTTTGAATGCATGAATGTCTATACACTCTGCAAATAATTTTAAGGTTACCATAGTGCACCATGTATTTCAATCCATGTCTTACTTTATAAACATTACAGTTCTCTGTCTTCCATTTCTCTTGTAGAAAGTACTAAATTTAATGGGAAATGGCTTACTGAAACACATCAAGAATTATAGAAAGACTTTAATTGTCCGACTGGTAAGTAGTACCTTTATTGTTTTTGAAAACACTACCGGTAATTGAAAATGAGATTAATATTTTCTTCAGAAATTTATACCTTGGAGCAATGTAAAGTATTATGTGCTCATTTTCAGAAAACCTTAACATACCTGGATGATAGACCTGTGTTTCCCAAAGACAGAGCATGTGCAGAAGCCTGGTAATTTTTGTCGCATTTATGTATAATTGAACCATGCACTTACTGTAAAAGAACTCTACATTACATGTTAATGCAAAAGAGCATTACTGAAATTTTAAAATATTTTAATTCAAGAAATGAGGAATTTACAGTAATATGCTTGCCCAGATCTATTTATTAACAGTTATTTAAACAAAATTTTCTGTAATACCCAAAAATAAATGAGTTTCAAAACATTTTAGGGGTAGAGGAGGGGTGGAAGCAGAGAGAGAAGAAAGAGAAAGATGGATTGACCATGAGAGGAGGAGAATACAAGAGAGTGTTGAGGGTAAGGACCATTCACTGCATTCAGTGTATGCTTTATATCTGCAAGATATCCATACAACTAAATATTTTGCACTCTATTGAGGAATATTGCACATTACATATTACAATCAAATTTTAGCAATGCTCAGCATCAGACGGAAAAATGAGAAAGAGAAGATAGAAAAAGAGCGTAAAGAACAGGGCTTGGAGGGCGAGGTGGATGAAGAGAGTGTGGATTGGCTGACAGGAAAATATAGAATGAAGGGGGAAGAGGTAAGGCTTGTGTAAAGGTGGAAAAGGATCATAAAAGTAAGAGTTTCCAGCTAGGGTAAAGAGAGATTATCTGATTTATGGGGAAGGCATATATTTTCAAAGAGATTATATGTAAGCCTGATTCTTGGAGAATTTTTACATAAAAATGGAGTACATGTGTTTAAGCTAGAAAAGGAATAATTTTTTTTATATGATTCGTATGTAAAGGACATATAAATTTGAGGAATTCTATTTCTTAGGCAGAGGAGTCTAATTCTGATGTGGAAGAACCCACTGTTATTACAGGCAAAGCCCCCATCTCAGAGAAAGGCATCTTCTCAGCATCCAGTGAGTATAAATAACTCACAAACTATAATTTTACTTTAATATACCTGGCAATGATTGACTTTCATAGATAATGGTACTAGCTCATGTTTATAAGTCTTGTACTTAAACTAAGCAATAGTCTCCTTTTTGAGTTCAATAGGTATTATTGAAAAATCATGAGGAAATGCATAATTTTTTTGGTGCACTTGATACTGATATTAAATTTTAATTTTTCAATGACTTTCATCCCCTGAAATTAAAAATTGATTTTGTTTATTGAAGAAGAGTCTTCAAATGAAGATAGCACAAGACTCTTCATAACAGAGATTTCTGGTGAGAAATTTATATAGAAAAGTAAATAATTCTGAAATTATTGATGTCCTTATTTTCCCATGGAAAAGAATAAATCATCATTCAATTGTTTGTTTTCCAGACAAAAAGAGCAAGAATGACTTAGATGTAAGTATGAAAGTACATATATATGATAATGTATACATAGTCGTGTTTAAAACGTCACTATCTTACCTATTTTTTTTTTTTCAATGTTTTATCTTTTTTTAGTAAGATAAACCTGGTATTATTAGATGGTATTTTGTAGAAGAGAGCATATATATAGGCAGTTCCTGCTATTCAATCCTTTTAGGTTTTATTCATAATAAAATATTGTTTAATTAAATGTTGTTTTATGTTCTGTAGGATCTTCCAGATCTAGAAGATGTTGATGTCAATGAAGAACAACTGATCACTATGGCACAGCAGAAAAAGGTCAGTTATGAACTTTTTCAAAAGTACCATTTCTTTTTATAATTTCTCTCCCTTGTTATATTTTCTCTTATTTATATTAGTAATAATAAAACACATTTATCATTATATCATGAATTAACCTTCTGGTCAAGTCAGGAAAAATTCTAGAATTTACAAATAATGAAGTTTTTATGTTTATTAAATTTGTTGTGTTTTATGAAAAATATTGTCAATATCTATTTAAGCATTAATTTTATTTTCTTTTGCTTCAAGTTTTGAATTTTCTCGAACACAATTTCAGACCACATACAAGCCAAAGATTGAGGTCCTGTCAGACAGCAGTGACAGTGAGGAGGAGACCGAGGACACCACAGAACAGCCATTCATCCAGGAATCCAGCACCTCAAGGGGACCTCAGACTGAAGTGGTATCTGATCAGGGTAGTCGCTCAAGCAGACTGCTGATTGAAGAAATTCCCACTGAAAAAGAACCTAGACTTACAGGTGGAAAATCTAAAGTATTTGGAGCATCTGGAGCAGAGATCAATCTGGATGCCATCACTCCAGAAATTCCAGGATCATATGACATGCAGGCCAGGGCTCAGTCAATGCAGCTCCTGCAGGGTCTTGGGGCACTCACAGGGTCTCGGGTGTCAAAAACAGGAAGGACGGACTTTTCAGAGATGGAAGAGGCTTCAAAGAAAATGACAAAAGAGGAGAAAATTCAGGATCTGGCAGCGAACATTGGATCTACGACTGTTGATCCATCTATAAAAGACTGGGATGATTCAGAACTAGATTGACAATGTTCTGCAATTTAAGGATTTTCTGAACTTTGAAAAAAAAATTACCTGGCATAAGTTGTGGAAGTTAATTCAGTTCCACAAAAATTATGTTTTGCAAATTGAAATGTTTCATCACAAAGCTCCAAGTTTTACTTCATATTGTTGATGATGATTTTAAAATCCTGCAGGAAATGCGAAGTTCACAAATACAAATTCATTTACCATCTGTATTTTCTTCTGTTTGTTGCAAGATTGCCAAGAATAAACACCTTTTCACTGGTTGTTCTTGCTCGTTATAGAGCTACCAGGATGTAATATCCAACAGCATTCCGTCCGTATATGTCATTTTATAATTTGAATGTGTTCAGTTGGTTTTTATTGTAATAAAGTTGTTAATTAATCAAGTAAATTTTATTAGTAATAGTTAATCAAACATTTTAAATTTCATGCATTTTCATTCCTTTGGTTGAATACCAATTTTGTACGTATAATTAAGGTGTGCTAATATATATGTGTATATTTCATTTCATTTTGCTATTTATTAAAAACATTTAATGTTTAAAGCATGTGTATTATTATTTAAACTCAGACTTGCATATATAGAACAAACTTGACTCTTCAAATATACAATCTATTATTTATAAAATCTTACACTGGCTGTAGCTTATATTACATCTAATTTCTACGAAATGATGCATGTACATTTCATGGAGACATCAGTTTTGGATGTACAACCAGTCATTTTACATCAGTCAGAGCCAATATTGATTGATTCAGCTAAATAAACAATTCACTGAAATAGTTTTGTCTATATACATGTAAGTAGCAGTCCAAGATTCTGAGCCTAATACTCCTATTATTTTTAATACAGGTGTTAGAAGTACACATATAATTGTATATCAGAATGGAAACCTCAGGGAAATATACAAGTAAAAGTGAATCTGCATCTTTTTACACCCAAGATTGATAATTGTCAGACTAATACATATTAAGCAATACATTTTCACAGGTTGTTATATATTTTATTAGCCATGGCAACACCATCAAAAACCAAAGCATATTAATGAGCCTTGGTATAGTCATTGTATACCAAGTTCCATTGAAATCGGACCAAAACTGTAAGAGTGGTATTTTGAGAGAATTCCATTGTTTGTAACAATTATAGTCATCATGGTTTCATTGTTAAGCAAAAATTGTGTACCTAAATAAGTGTTATACATGTATATGGTTGTATAAAAAGAAGATGGGCGTGTTTGGCGTGTGATCTGCAGGAATAAGGCGTACGAAACATTTATAGTTTAAATGTCTATGATTTGGTCGGCTGACCACAGCTGGACATACTTTACAAAGTTACGCACATGGGAAAATGTTACATTTAGTTTGAAATACTTTGTCAAATTAAATATATCAGTCCGCTTTTCTTAATAATTACTACATGTAAAACTTAGTAATGCTTCACATAAATAATAAACACCGATAGGGTATAGTTAAATGCAATTACATGTATATATTAAAGTATCAGTAGGTTGGAAGAATTACTTTTGCTTTCAGTGTAACAGAACCAGAATTTATCTATTTAAATCAGTACATAAAATTAAACTGAGAAAAGAATTGATTGTTTGTACTAAAAAAATATTAACACTCCATGCGAGGATCGAACAAAAAATATTTCTTTTTTATTGCACTAGACAGGCAACGCATACTACTGAGCTATCACCGCTATACACACTTTATGGTTTTTAAAGCGACAATGAAGCACCGCATTTACACACTGGAATTTTTGGAAAAAGTTCATTTTTTATCGTCTTTGGGTCTTCTCTCCATTTTTTACAAATGTTTGTTGGTTTCTTTGAATTAAAATGCACACAAATAATGTTTCAATATCATGGAGAGATGACCCAGAGATGGCAAATTTTTAGAAAAATGTGTTTAAAAATGTAACATTTTGTACCAAATGACTCATCTAGCCAATTTTCAAGTTCTTTTTTTTTAGCAAATCAAAATACAATATCCGGAAAATATTTTCCTTTCCTATTTCACAGGAATCCGATACATCTAAAGAATGCTAAAATTTCATGTGACAGATCAATGAAATTTTCACTTTTCAAGTGCACCCAGATTCCTGCCGAATGCCAATCAAAAGCTCCCTCGTTCTTTTTGAAATCAGACCAACACTGTGGGAGGAAGCGCAATTTGCATTTCTCAGAAATTTTTGCCTTGTTCATCAAAATAGAAAATTGATAATAGAATTAAATATCTTGCTAGTCTATGTTGCATGTCGGAAAATGGATGACGAGCACTTTACCATTGCAAAAGCTCTTCTGTCTTTTTACTTGTTAGGTAAATAGAACAGTTAGGTGCATTTGTTTCTCCTCTTTGATGATTCCTTAATATTTTGCTATAACAACACCAGAAGCGTAATTTATTTATTTATTTACATAACATGATGTCCACATACAAATTTGCCACATTATACATATATATCTACCATCATGACTAGCTTCAACATCTGCTTATTGCAAGTGATACATGGATTATAACAGTATACTTTTCCAGTCAGATACGAGTCAATACAAAATGGAATGCAATCAAAATAACTCTTGGGACTAAATCCACCAAACAAATTTTAGCCTATTCATCACCATACTGTGTAGTACACATGTATAATTGACTATTGCAATCAATAAAAGCATTAATAATTAATATATATTCAAATCACAGTTCCATAACCCCTTCAGGGGCCTTTACAGTTCTACCCAATCTCCTGTTTAAACAAGAAGACTAATGCCGTAAGAAATTGTCAAGCAGGTTGCAAGGGGCAAGAAAGAAATGAAGGACATTTGCTGGATGTTTTTAATGTGAAAATGAAGACCATTGGAATTCATGTCAATGTATTTCTGCTTTCCAATTTCTTAGAAACTTTAGTCTCTTCGTATTTAAACAAAAGTAACAACATATAAAATCAACAAAGGAATGACTTTGTTCATGAAGTATATTTCACAGAAGAGACCTATGTAATATAAATATCACTAAATCGTCATGGATTTGACCTTGACCCTCAAGCTGGGGGGAAGATATATTACCACCCGGCAGTAATAATGTCCAACCATAATGAATAAAATCAACAGTCTCACACAGTGTGTGGTCTAGCGTGTGGAGTCTACTAAATCCAGACTGATTTTGTAGTACACGTAAGGGTAGTAGTCTACATTACTGAGTCCTACTAAACCTGGGATCTCCATCTGTCCAGCCTAAATAGAAGAAAATTCATATGTTATTACACATATTGTATCATAACAAATACAACACTTGTGAATTTTTATCACATGGCATGAAATTTTTATCTTAAAGAACAAGGGCGCTTTTGATTGGCATTCGGCAGGAATCTGGGCGCACTTGAAAAGTGAAAAATTCATTGACCTGTTACATGAAATTTTAGCATTCTTTTGATGTATCGGGTTCCTGTGAAATAGGAAAGGGAAATATTTTCCCGATATTTTATTTTGATTTGCTAAAAAAGAATTCGAAAATTGGCTAGATGAGTCATTTGATACAAAATGTTACATTTTCAAACACGTTTTTCTAAAAATTTTCTACCTCTGGATCATCTCTCCATGATTTTGAAACGTTATTTGTATGCATTTTAATGCAAAGAAACTAACAAACATTTGTAAAAAATGGAGAGAAGACCCAAAGACGATAAAAAATGAACTTTTTCCAAAAAAATTCTGATGTGTAAATGCGGTGCTTCATTGTCGCTTTAAAAACCATAAAGTGTGTGTAGTGGTGATAGCTCAGTAGTATGCGTTACCCGTACAGTGCAATGTAAAAGAAATATTTTTGGTTCGATCCTCGCATGGAGCGTTAATATTTTTTTTTAGTACAAACAATCAGTTCGTTTGTCTGTTTAATTTTATGTACTGATTTATTTTTAAATAGATACATTCTGGTTCTGTTGCACTGAAAGCAAAAGCAATTCTTCCAACCTACTGATACTTAGCTATATACATGTAATTGCATTTAACTATACGCTATAGGTGTTTATTATTTATGTCAAGCGTTACTAAGTTTTACATGTAGTAATCATTAAGATAAGTGGACTGATATATTAATTTGACAAAGTATTTCAAGGTAAATGTAACATTTTTCCATGTGCGTAACTTTGTAGAATATGTCCAGCTGTGGTCAGCCGACCAGATCGTAGACATTTAAACTATAAATGTTTCGTACGCTTTATTCCTGCAGATCACATGCCAAACACGCCCATCTTCTTACATTCTAAAACATGACTTCAGTCAGATTTACATCTATGGACTCCAAGCAAGTAAGAGTTCAAAGACTTGAAATAATTCCAATTCTTTCTCTTCCTCAAAAATCAAACAAGAATGACCGTAATTTTTTATGACATACTACCAGACAATAAAACTTGTATATATATGTAAGTATACATAGTAGAGAGAAAACTAACATCTTGGGAGGCTGGGGAGTCTAAATGAGCATACAGCTGATTGAGGACTTCTCGTAATTTTCTGGTAGTCTTTTTATGGGGCTGCATTAACACGGCCAAGAAATTGACAGGTAAACCATATCTACAATGAACCAGTCTCACTTTTCATAATATGTGTAAACAATGTATAAACATACACAGTTTGTGTTAAATGAAGTTATAAAAGCACTTATTCATTTTCTGTGATAAGACATAATTCCTAAATCAAACAGAATTGTAATTATATAAATCCACACACATCTTTGACAATGTCATAAATTATTAAAACAGGACAAGAAGAAGAGTGACCTTGACCCATTTAAAAAGGCATACCTTAAAACGGATTCCACAAATATTCTTAATGCCTTGACATGAATCCAAGCAGAGAAGCTTTCTCCAAAGTTGACTTTTAGCCATTTCACAAGAGGACCCTGAAAATTTTTGAAGAAAAAAGATGAAACTTACACCCATTAACACAAATCTGATGCAGAAATAAATTTGGCAGTTCTTATATAAAATCTGAGAAAACAGATTATCAAATGTGCCCAATAACTTAGAAAATTTGTCAGTCACAGCACAAAAAACATGACGTTCTTTGTTTATAATAAGTTCATTCCTTTATTGTAAAATCTGATGTACTGGTACATTGTGAAAGGAAATTGGTATATGATAATAATTAAGTTTATTGCAAACACTTACATATAGTTTCTTCTTGTCATCTTCCAGTTTTGAGATTTCCATTTTCCCATCTGCAATGTCTTTTTCATTGTAAGTAAAATCCCTCACCATAAATCTGGAAAGATACATGTAATTCTGTCATTTTTTTCTTAAAAGAAAACCTGTACAAATATTTTGCTAAATCAATTTTCTTCATAAAAATCAGTATTATAATATAAGACTTTTTATTCTAAATAATATAAACTGCGGTCCATGAGCAACAACGGTCTCCTGATTGAGTCACATTTCTCTTCTTGACAATCAACTAAGGATTATCTATAAATGGAGTTGTTCGTATATGTACATGAGTATTACTTTGTACAGTTGTTTACCCCCTGACACCAGATACTCTCACTTGAGCCTTTTGGCTCAGGTGAGCAAACAAGAAGTCTGTGAGCCAGTGCTCACTAGTAATACCCCCGCTTTGATGTGAATATACATTCTGGTGTGAATGTACACAAGTTCAGTTATGGACAGACAAAAGGATGAACAAGAAGTAAAAATCAGATTCATACAAAAATGAATCCCACTATATTGCAGGTCTAACCCAAGAGTGTGCTAAAATTTCAAGCATCTGCAATCAGTAGTTACTGAGAAAACTGCGACCAAAATTTGCTATATACAGTACACACAAACGCACTGATAAACAGGAAGTTGTAATCGGATTTGTACAAAAATGAATCCCACCATATGGCATGCCTAAACAAAGAGTGTGCTAAAATTTCAAGCATCTGCAATCAGTAGTTGCTGAGAAAACTGCACCAAATAATTTGTTATGTATGGTATGGACAGACGCACAGATGAACAGGAAGTTGACATCGGATTCATACAAAAATGAATCCCACCATATGGCATGCCTAAACAAAGTATGTGCTAAAATTTCAAGCATCTGCAATGAGTAGTAGCTGAGAAAGCTGTGACGAAAAATTTGTTACGGACACACAGACGGACAGACACACAAGGGTAAAACAGTATACCCCCCTCTCCTTTGGCGCGGGGGTATAATTATCCATAACTATAGTAAACCAAAAAATTCTTTTGTGATATTGTAAATCAAAACATGCAATAATGTAAGCATGATTTACAAACATTTCCATCAGAATTACTTATTTGACAGTGGTGTTTGACCTACTTGTTCTCTCTACATCTGTTTTTAAAGTCCTCTGCCACTTTTCTGAAAAGTGTTACTGAGCATAAGCAGTTCTCGTCATCTTCAAAAAGGGTCCTGAAATATATATATAAAAAAAAAAATACCGGTAGGTAATAAGATCAATTCAATTACAATATATATGATGCATTAGTTTTCATTTGTTTTATTTACCTACTAGAGAATAATTTAAGCTCTATTGACAGTAGATCTAAACATCAGAAATACATGTTCTTTGTGAATTTAATTTAAGGAGGCTGGGGGGTCAACAAATTAACCACAAATTAACCACCAGATTTAACTTAATTTTTTAGATATGATATCTTAAGCTGTCAACTATCATTTGGCAAAGAAAAATTTCAAAAATTTTAGTTTTAAAATTTGATCATTTTCTATATCTTCATCATGGAGCTCTTCTTCTAAAGGAGATCAATATAGTCTAAAAATGGCCACAACCCCCAGCCTCTTTAATAAACATTAATCTGGAGGTTTCCAGTCTTACGTTTACACAAAAATATTGAATACTATTGTGAGATATCTTGTATATTTCAGATTCTGTAAAAATTGAATATTTTTTTTCTAATTTTTACAAAGTACTCGGTACATACATAGAAAAGTTCACTGTATTTGTTGATACATATGCATATTTCTCTCTGAAAAGAATTCAAAAGGAAAGTAAATGTATAAACACAACTCACCTTGATGATCTAGGAACCACCATATCTGTCAGTGTTTCATATTTTGCCTGCCAATCATGGATGATGTTCCTGAAATCAATATGTCATTAAATATTGCTCAGTTGAGATTGTATTTGACATTAATGACTAAATGAAAAAAAAGAAAACTTAATATTTATCTGTCATTTAACAAGGAATTACAAAATAAAGTATCTCACATGATTTTAACTACATTTCCAGGCATATATCAAGAGCAATTACATACTGTAAACCAACTATTATTCACGATTAGTCAGTTTGAAATCAATCCGCGATGATTAATTTTCGCGACTGAGGAATTATTCTATACAAATACAAAGCAAAATAAATGGTTCACGGCGATTAATATTTGCGAGTTAAGTAGGTCACGAAACTCGCGAATATTTCTCGCACGCGAATAAAAGTTGGTTTACAGTAATCTGCATATTCTAGTATATTTCCATTTGTTTTCTCTGTGATAACTCTTTGAAAGTTAGTTGAGTTGATTTCTTGATCATTCTATCGGAATGTTAATTTCGCCAAGCGAAAGGTCAGGAGCTAAGAAGGCCCAATATGCATGTAAATCTCGTGCGGCTGTCTTTGTGTTTGACATCAGTGGGTGGGGACTATTGAAATTGACATGTGAGGCCTCGTGTAATTTAAATCTATTAGTCTATATTTTATTAAAATCTAAATTTACAATTCTATTTCACAATGAAATGGAAATATAAGGAATCACTGTCTAGTTAGTAGACTATGCCAGGGACATCAACGATAGTTGGAAACGTGGGATAATTTATGCATAATGGGCTTCGCCCGTTATGCAAATTATCCCACGTTTCCAACTATCGTTGATGCCCTGGCATACTCTACTAACTAGACAGTGATTCCTTAAATAACCCTACAAAGAGTTTTCAGTACATACTGATATAATGCAAATATGGATACGAAATATGATTTTTGCTATAGAATTATCAGTTTATTTTGAGTTTTATCTTCAACAAGTTTAAGCTAACTATATAATGTGAAATTAGCATCAGACCAGTTCATAACAAGCCTTTTTTTCAAAGTTATCATTATCTCAACATTAAATTGTGCCCAAGAAAAAAACTATGACAATTCTGACTATTCAAGATATCAAGGTTGAAAACTTAAAATACATAAAGAGAAACTAGTTTAGACTTCAAATACTTTGACATATCCTTGGTATTTGATCAGGTTGATGATCAGGAAACCAAAAGTAACCAAAATCAATTCTGACTTACCTTGGAACAACCACTAGAAGAGTCTGCAGGTACTCAGAGTCCAGAACAAAGTCCTCTCTCTTCACAAGCTCAGCAAGATTTCTTGTGAAAAGACTTCCCCTAAAACAATTCAATTTTTTGTTCATTTAGTAAAAAATGATACAGTCAAACTACATTATCTCAAAGTCAATGAGACTGAGAAAAATTTTGAGATACTAATGGTTCTCCATATTGAAGGTGAAATTCATAAAAAAAAAATGTGATTGGTACTTCCAACTCACTTCAACATACCCATGGTATTCAAGATCTTGATGTTTGAGATATCAAAGTTCAAGTGTATTTACATTTCTTAACCGTTTCTACCTCATGACTTAGAAATTATTTCTGACATATTACTTATATAGACTTAGACTCTGACTTACGTTGATTTTCTTTCCAGGTTCTGTAAGTTTCCTTTTAAGTTGTTGTATGCTGTGGCTTTTGTTTTCAAGTCTGTTTCAATCTGTGAAACTTGCTGAAAACAGCATTAGAATAGATGTATATATAATTTATTTTAAAGAAATATAAAAAAAAACTTTTAAATTTCCATTCTGAATAAGGGGTAAAATGTTTTTCTTCTACTTTGCCTGAAGTTTCTTTGTGTTTCATAAACTTGTGTTACTAGATACGTGTACAATATTCAGATAAAAATACTAGGAATAACAATTTAAGATTATTTTTTCATTTTTCATTTCAGAAGAAATAATACACATTCAGTAATGTTTCTATGATCCATACCTTTCCAATGATTTCGGCTATGTTCTTCAGAGACTGTTTGATTGGATACTTTGCCAAGTCCCACTGAAACCTGGTTAAATATGTCACCATATCCACTGTCAACAGAGAAAAATCAAGCATGTAGGATATTCTACACGTTACTCATATCTTTAATTACCAGATATGGGATATCATGTCCAACATTGGTAAGAAGATACCCTAACGTTGACCTTGACCTTTGACTTCTTGGTCCTAAAATATAAGGGTTGTACCCCTGGACCCCTAACACTTCTATAGAAAGTTTGAAAACTGAAGGTCAAAATATTCCATATATTGAGTCTAAAACATTCTAAGGGATGCATATTCATACAAATATACAATTTACAACATTGCAACTTTCCTCACAAGAGGATAACTTATGAAGCCAAGAAGCCATAAAAATGTTATGGGTATACATGTATTTGCTATTGCAACAAGTGTGCCATAAATTGGTGACCACAATAAAGTGCTGCATTGTGATATGATTACATGGATATCCTATATAATAAGAAATATAAAAAAAAGTACATCACTATCCCAAAGCATGAAAATATTCCAAAATGACATTACATACAGTTGGTTTTAACAAGAGGCCCATATGCCTTATTGATCCACAGTTTATCATCAACCTGTCTATTGGTACATGCATCCAATGATGAAAGAAAACCTTTGATTATATTCAGATATTCCTTATTATTAAAAGCCTACTAGAATAGAGATGTTGCAATTTACAATTCATTCCTTACACCCAAAGATGCTACTGGGTAAATAAAATTAAAACTGGTTTTAAGGATCGCTCATTACAAATTTCTTGCAAGACTTTCTTCATGATCTATAAAGAAAAGTTAAACACACTTCCTCAACTTGTGCAAAATTAGTGTTTTAAAGTATAAGGCATAGTGTTGTACTTTTGCAGTCTTGCTTAAGGGAAGGCCAATAGCAATATACATGTATATAATTAGCTTTTATATAATCAGCTACTTGCCCAGTTTTGATTGCACAAATTGAAAACACTGAGTTTCAGAGTCATCCTGAATGCTATGCTCCACATTGTCTTTGACAATTTGTACTAGAGTGAAAAATATTATGGCAAGAAAGGATCAATAAATTATGAAAGCAGCAATATGTGCATTATGAGGGCATATCAGTTATGCAAGAAATTTATAATGGCCCTTTTTATTTACTGTACAATAATTACCGGTAAATACTATCATTGGAGTACAAGTACTGTCCGATAAATGGTTAAACCATATAATACTTAAAAAAAATATTCTACTCAATATATCTTTAGCAGAATATTTCAATTTCACTCAGTTTTATCAGGTATGACATTATGGTGAATTAATGATGTCACAACAACAAGGTTGTAGGTTAAGTGAACCAAGTGAGGATGTGCATTGAAATAATCCAAGTTTACCTGAGTTGATCTGGATTAATTTATTAGTGATGACTGGCCCTAACTTTCTTTTCTTATTATATAATTATATATATCTTGACCTACTATGTGGTCCAACATAGGGGACCATGATTTGAACAAAATGTCAATCTTCCTATAAGCAGGTAGTTTCCTACTGCTAGTCTTGCTGTTCTTGATAAGAAATTTATATCCCCCTCCCCTACTGTTTATGTATCCTGGCCCAATGGAATATGAACAAACTTAAAATCTACACTATCAAAGGTATCACCTTAACTTGTATCCTGTCAGACTGACCTCATTATCACAACAACATGAGCCCAAAATGTCAATTCTTAACCAACATGCAGAAGTCCAATCATAACCAGTACTCTGGTTATGAGTTGACTTTCCCATTCTTAAACATAATGTGAACTGATACCTGTATATATCTCATTCATACATGCTTTCAAAGTCAAAAATATTTACCTATTTGCACATTTACTTGTGAAATAAAACTCATAAAACAGACCTTTTTTAGTCAATTCTTATCAACCTACCTCCATTGACTAAAAGATTCCCTTGTAATTTATCACTGTGATCTTCTAAAGTTTCTCCCAAATATTGGGCTATTTTTCTTGTGACACTGTAAATTATAAAATATGGAAATATTTTTCATAAATATTAATGAATCATGATAGTATGAATTGAAAAATTGACTTGCAATACTTAGGTAGATTAGTATCCATTTTCAAGGTCAGCTTTCATTGCCTTTCAATGAATGCAATCTTCAAACACTACAGACATACCTCTCACAATAGACATCCAGTTTACCCATATCATCTGACAATCCTACAAGGACATCCAATGTTCCAACCTGGAAGAAGCATTACAATTATATTTTTACAGCTATATTTCAATATCTTATGCTTTAATGGTCTTTGCTATTCTCTTATGCACTGAAAATACCTGTGCAAGAGAAGGAAACAGATCATACAAACAGTCTATTAAAAATTCATTAATAGAGGGCCTAAATTCAAGCTTCCTTTCTAAGCAATGAATCTTATGAATACTGACTTAAACAAATGGAAAGCAAAGTAAATTTAATAATCAATGACACTGTGTTTCTGAAATGATTTAAACTGCATTCTTGTGCGTACTCCCACATATGGAAGATGGAGTTTAAAATTTGGTCTCATATGGGATTTGTTTAAGCTAGCATGAGATAATCATTGAGGAACAATAAGGAAGACTATGTGACAATTATCACTAAGGTTTTCTTACTCTTGTGTGTTTACCACAGTGCCTGAATCTATTTTGACATATAATTTAATACAAGCAAGAACAAGTATAAACAGGCAGTAGTCCAAATACTGTAAACATACTACATTTGGCTGTGTATTCTATTTAGCCCCTTTCACAGATACCAGCTTCTGCTAAAGCAAATACATCATTAAATGTCTTGTGTATATATACATATATTCATATAAAGCATATTCAGAAAGCTCTAATCAAATCTACGCTAACTTGTTGAAAAATAAATTTACACCAAATATCATACAACCAAATAAAATACATTTACAATAACATCAGGACATTTTACCTTAAGATCTGGAATGGCAAACTTATAATTTGTGGATAACACCTGATTCCTCATTGTGGCATTGTTAAGATTTTCCCATGATTGCTGCAGTGTCTTCTCTCCAGGAACAGAAATCAACCAGTATTCTGCCATTTTTATTAGAATTCTGGTCTGAAAGTATTGATATTTTATTTTGCAATTACCTATTGAATGATTGCATTTGTTCATTTTTATGTGTCAGGGCTCGACATTAACTTCTTTCCCTACTTGTCCATTCGGACAAGTGGCCAAGACATTCACTTGTCTGAAAAATTTTCAATAAATATATCTAATACTGTCAACTGGAAAACTAAAATAAAGTCCATTACACCTGACATGTGCTTGATTGATTCGTGATGTTATTGATAAATACAACAAACACATAAAACGAAATTTTATCTAGTCTTTCTGGTCTGACAACAACATAAATGTCCACAAGTGAACCAAACTTTATTAAGTTCGTAGGTTCCATGCCTTTTCAGTAGTATGCAATTAGTGAACTTCGATCCCGATCAAATATGAACTCAATTAATAGCGATCCCTATCGGGATCGAAGCCCGGTTTTTATGTACAGCTTCTGTCTTGAAACTACCGATTAACTTTTAACAGTCGTTTTTTTAAATTATTTAGAGACTCCTTTACATTAAAATGCACTTGTCCAATCGGACAAGTGCCCAGCAATATTCACTTGTCCGTAATTTTTTTTCACTGGTACCGGACAAGCGTTAATGTCGAGCCCTGTGTGTGTGCATGTAATACCTTTTTCTTCAAAAGTAAATATGATATCATCAAAATTAAGTGCGGTGAACTCTTAAAGCAATGCCTGAGCCAAAAAAAATGGGACTGTGCACATTGATCCAAATGAACTTTTTTCTGCAGTAACCTCTGTACCCACAATGCAACACAAATTGACTGGTTTTCCATACATGCAGCTTTGATCTTTGGATCACTTTCTTGAGATAACCAAAGAAAAGTTCAAAGATAAAAAAAGTAACTCACTTGCTTGAATGCAAATTGCAGACAGATGGTAGACTAGACCCTCTTTGTTAAACATTTGCCTTCTGAGACTTTGCTATGGAAATGCAACTTACATACGTCATGTGATGCCACAGTCTAGACATTTCAAATATCTCATGCGGTTGGAAGAGGCAGATCTAAGTTTTATTAGTCCCATACCGGTGAAACCGGAGGGGACTATAGGTTTCCTCTGAGTCTGTCCGTCCGTCTGTCTGTCTGTCTGTCTGTTCCTCTGTCAGTCTGTCCCACTTGGTTTTCCGCACTTTTCTTCTAAACGCTTGCAGATATTGAGCTGATTTTTGGTATGTGAGTGTATCTTGATGAGTTACAGATTAAGTTTACATTTCGTTCCGCCTCAATGATTTTTGACGGAATTATGACCTTCTCAATTTTTCAGGGTTTTCCGCACTTTTTTTCTAAACGCTTGCAGATATTGAGCTGATTTTTGGTATGTGACTTTACCTTGATGTGTTATAGATCAAGTTTGCATTTCGTTCCGCTTCATTGATTTTTGACGGAATTATGGCATTTTCAATTTTTAACGGGAACCAGATTACACTTGCCGGTAGGGGACTAGTATTGCTAATGCAATACTCTCAGAATGCTTGTTAGTCCCCTACCGGTGAAACCGGTAGGGGACTAGTATTGCTAATGCAATACTCTCAGAATGCTTGTTTAAAGTGAATACTAAGGTATCTACTAATAAATTATACACAACTGTGCTTGCCCTAACCATTACATCATCAACATATTATTTATCATTTAGACAGAAACCAAAAAGTAAATCATAAATTTTTGATGCTGTCTTTTTTCTGTTTTGTTTTGTTAGATCAGTCACTGACACTACAATCCAAACAATATAATGAAAGGTACAGTAAAGTCCCAAGGGTCCATGAGTATACAAGTACTTTATTCTTTTATATGACCAAAGTGAAATTTTGCTACACTTTAATAATATTTTTGTTTGTAGTCTATATATCGTAGAATACAACTTTTTACCAAAAACTTTTTTTCTTTACGCCTAGAAATGGAAAAAGAGAAAAGGGTATTTACAATGGATATGTACATCCGTAACATTGAAAATGACAGGTTACATATCAAGATCAGCTGAGGATGGCAACACAAAAATGCAGATCAACCATATTTCAAAATCTAGCACACAGCCTTTTAAAGCAGAAAAAACAAACTCCAAACTCCTCTTTTTGTTACCTTTCTCCTATACTCGGTGATATCGCAATTCTTGATAGTAATAAACAATGTACTAAGGTGAAAAAAGCGACAACCAAATTGAAATTGCAATCGGATTCATAAGGTGGAAGCCATATTTGTCTCACGTGACAAAATATATGAGTCAAGTCTTTCGAGACTAATAATCCGGATGGCATTCATCTCGTTGATTTCAGACAGTTCGGCATAAAGTTATGTCTCTCAATCAACTTAACAAAGAAAAAGGAAAAGTATTTTATAAACTCCTTTTCAATGCAAAAATATAGTGCTTAATTTTGCAATTACTGAGAGCATCTTGCAATTTGTAACATCTGGCCTTCCATTCACTTTCTTCTATATGCGAGTAAAACATTTAATATTTTATTCTGAATTCATTTTCTAATTATTCTCTTTTTTATTGTTCTATGCCATGCAGTATTTAGATAAACTCGTTGTTTTGTATTTTGTTAAAAAAATGTTTAAATTTCTAATTCTTTTGTAAGTCTGAATTTTTTTTTACGAAGCAGATAGTATTTATGTTTTACAAATATTGTATTTTTAAAAGGTACTCAGAACATCAAGACAAGTGAAACATTTGAAAATAGGATTGTTTGCCAATAGTAGGGATAAACGTAAAAGGAAAAAAGGAAAAGAACAAACAACAAAACCAATAAAAATTCAAATTAAAGTGAAAACAAGAACAAGAAGAAAACTAAACAAAAACTAAGTCAAAAATAACAAGAAACTAAAAATCTATTAGTTAATAATTAAATAAGTAAATGAAGATATAAAATAAAGAAATAATAATAATCATAGAAATACATGTATTCTCAAATTTAATAATGACTGCTTTTGGACACGGACAGTTTGAACACAGACACTTGTTTCTGAAATAATATTTTTTAACTCATGGTATAATAATAACCACAAACAGTTTGTCAGTGCATTTTCTGCGAGAGTGTATGTAAATAACTGCGAAATTGAGGAGGGGGTACTTCATGTAATTCGGAGTTAGATACCTTGTATCAAAAAAAATTATTACAGAAATTAGTGCCCGTGAGTTTAAAGTATTCTTTACACTTAGAATACCGGGTATACATATATGCCAAGTTTTAGTATTGTTGTCACTCACTGGTATTTTTAACAGAGTTAATATTTTAAGCTGTTTTAATTAACAACACTGCAATATATATACATAAGCACACTGTGCTTAAAATCATAGTATATATTATAATGACACGAGTGTAGTTAATAAGTTTTTAGCACTGGCATATCGAGAATTTCTTCTTCAATTAATTATTCGATCATTACCAGACGGGGGGATCGGTAGCAGGTGCGGATCCTGGAATTTTTTTTCCGGGGGGGGGGGGGGGTCTACCCGAGTCCAAAAAATATTTCCAACCCAAAAATTTCTTGCCAAGCCCCCCCCCCCCAAAAAAAACTAAATTCCCTTCCCAAACGTATTAAACCCAGAAAATTTCTTGACAAGCCTAAAAAAAAGGTAAAATGCATTTCCCAAACGTGAAAAACACCTATTTCGTGGTGGTGATGATGGGATCCACGTTTTCAAGGGGGGGAGGGGGTGTCCAAAGCCATTTTTTATTTGCTTCAGTATATACTTTTAATAACTCTTCAAATTCCAGGGGGGGGGGGGGGGTCCGGACCCCCATCTAGATCCGCGCATGAGTAGGGAGGGGGAGTTTTGCCGACTCAATGAACTGCTGAAAACCTTATAAGGAAAAAAGTAAATGTTCCCACAGTAAATTTGATTACTCAACATGTAAGTTGATTCAGTATAATTATCATTTAGTGAATACATTGTACGATGTGTTCCGTTTCATCAAATACTTGCTGGCAATCTTATTTAAAATGCAACTGCAATAAAGAAATTCTCAACCTTGTTTCCACTGATGAAGGACGTCGATTTATCAGACGTGCAAAGTCACCCGACACCTAGGGGGAAAAAATACTTGTAGGACTTTCTCTTTAACCTCCTCACAAAACAACTTTCAAATTAATGTGTGAAAGTGTCCAATTTATCGTCAAGGCGTCTTTTGTAATGTGTGAAATGGTACTAAAGAATAGATTTAACCATTAATTCTCTTAGTTTGGTAATTTAAACATTTTATTTATCAATATTTGTGCACCAGTTGTGTAGAAAGTTTTCAAAATTTGAAAACTTAAAGGAGGCCCCAGGTGGGTAACTCCAATATCTTTCTACTGGATTTTGTATGTCAGGGCGCACCTGTTTCCCGCCTGCGCACCTCCGCAACTTACCAAATGTTGCATTCCTTGGTAACACGTAACAATTGAGAAGTTGGGACCACCGTTAGCATAATAAACGTGTCCTATCGAAATCCACTTTAATGCTTTTACATTTATCATAACTCACCGGTGAACTTTTTTTTAATTTGCACACTCAATTGTCGCGTCTCCTATTCAGATCTGATAACAGCGGTTTTGCACCTGTATACTTTGGGGAGTGCAGAGATGTTTTTCTTAAGTGTCAGTCCTAATGCAGTTCAATTAAAAGTTTATACATACCAGCTCATCTCACTACTAAAAAAGATTTTTTTTTTCTTTTTAGCCTCAGAGGAGTGGTGTATATCTACATGTTCTAGACGGAAGTGTTTCCTCATTCTTTTATTTGTCATAATTATGACTTATTACTCGGTCTATAAAATTTGGAGAGTTTTTTTTCATTTTTAAATGAAAAAAAAAATCCCTTTTTCTCAATTTCCTTGTGAACCTCTTCGTTTAAAACTGAAAATATATTATAAAGGAGTAAAATTTAATTATGTTAATTGTATATCTTGACTGAAAAGTGCGTTCTTACTATAATCTATAATTATATTGATTGTGGCAACAATACAACACAGTGCTAACTGTAATCGAGTAAGCTTAATTTATAGCTTATACAATTGTAGCAACTATCTAGCTCCTATCGAAACTAAAACACACTCATAGTATTAGTATATAGTTCTCAAAATTAAACTCATTAATCTGTTATACGGGATATTTTAAATTTAGAACATTTTGTTATATTTGTAAAATCTGATTTCAGAATATAACCAATTCAAGCGATTTTTAGAAATTGGAGAGAAAAATGTTCACATTTTCCCCAAAGGAAAAAAAAAATCATTTGATATTTAGATATCATTATCCATCGTAAAAGAAACATTATACATGTTTTATATATCCTTATAGTACGTTATTACTAATGACGATTTATTAGAGTGTCATTCTATATTTCAATACATATACTATTCTATACATCAATAAAAAGCTGTATTTTGGCTCCTGTAAGTGGACATTATGCAATTTTTTAAGTTTATTCATTAGGCAAATCCTTATTGGTAGATAGAAACAACACTGACATCCGCAACACAGAAAATTTCTACAATGAATAAATTAAAAAAAAATTAAAGAAATAAATGAAGAAATAAAATAAAATAAATCATCCTTAAAATCAAACAATTATATCATCGGATCCTATCCGTCACCTTTTTATATAATATTAATATTATACGTTTTGACGAATACAGAAGATGAAGTGTTCAAATAATTTAAAACTTTATACCTGATAAATAAATAAGAAATTAAGAAAATAATTTTTAAATATGGAAAAGGTCTTCTTTACACACTGGATAACAAACAGTTAAATAATATCAAACCATGTATTGAGTTACTCTCTTGAACATAATTTTTCAGAAGATTGCGCCGTAATTGTGCATGGTGCTGAAGGCGCGAAAAAACGTTTAATATGCTGTCAGTCTTATGCTGGTCCTCCAAAATGTCAATGTTCCTGAAATTTGATTTTTTTTTATTTGTACTGGTTAAACTGTGTGGTTTTCAGTGAAAATTTTAAGTCATGGAGAATTCACTATACAGTGAATTTTTAGCAATGTCATTGGTGAATTTTGTCATGAATATTACTCTTCTCGGATAAATATATATATATATACCAGGAGAAGTGGATTAATATAAAATATTTTAGGTAAACATGCCTATACAGGTAAAACATTTCTGTCTGAAATGATTTCTATTTTTTTTTTTTTTTAAAAAGTATTGTTATTATTTGAATTCTGGTATATATGATTGCCGACAGAATGAAGTCAAAGTTAACATTCGACTTTTATTATATATATATATATATATATATATATATATATATATATATATATATATATATATATATATATATATATATATATATATATATATATATATATATTTATGGTTTGTTTTGGATAAACAATTAACTCTTAAAAAGTTAACTGTCGTTAAAAATTTTTAAACGAAGCGTCCTTCCTCATATACTTTATTTTAACAAATAAAATATATAACATTACCATCTTGTTATTTTTTCTTTCGAAATCTTCCTATTCTACGAAACGTTAGAGGAAAGATGTACATGTAGGATTTTTTATAGATGAATTATTTTTCTTCATTATTTCTCCTCTATCATTAAAGAATTTTCTTACATATACCTTAATTGTGCTAAAATAAATATTTAGATTTAGCTAAGTGATATAAAGTTTCTAATGCATTTTAATACATGCACTTGCATATCATCTAGAAGAATTTACAAAGTTGTTTGTCGTTGATTCTATACGGAATATACACGACTTCATACAGTGTTATTCAAGGTGGACACAAAGAAAGGGAACTCTAAGTTTTGCAATATGTCGGAAGGTTTCCCGCACTTACAATGTTATTTCAACATTTAACCATAGGCACTCCCCAGCTTAATTGTTAAAAAATATAGATCTACTATAGTAGATCTATATTTTTTAACAATTAAGCTGGGGAGTGCCTATGCATTTAACAACCATAGAGTAAGTTTTTTGTATGATCATTACAAACATATTTGTGTAAATTCATATTAAGGGCAGTGCATCCTATATTTACACTTGGCTCAGACGACCCGTACATGTATAAGTCGCAATTTCCGTTGGGGGGGGGGGGGGGCACAGCCGGAAGAGAGGTAAACTTATTACCCAAAATTGTTCTCTTTTTTTTGAGCAAAATGGAAATCTTTGGCTTAATTTTATATACATATACTTCATTTACCCACATAATAAGACTGTAAATACCTTTGGCACGGGTGTCTCAGTATATTTTGGGTGTTGACAAACCCGAGGACACGCACAAAGTTGCCTTATAAATGCTCTTAGGTCGGTTATCACCCTCATAAAAGCCGAATTTACTTTGAATATTCATCTCGTTTTGACCTTCATTTTCCTCATCGATTGATCTAATTTAAATATTAGCCATTCCTATTGATGCCATTTTAAAAGAAGATATAACTCCAGATTTTACTGGCATGGTTATTTTTTACAAAAACATTGATAAAGTAGAGACGATGAAATAATTCCTATACATGTTTTCATTTAACATTTCAAAAATTTATTCCAATTATTCAAGGTTGAAAGACCGTATATTGTAATGTATCCTTAAGAAGTTTCTCTGTGAGTCTCTCTCAACAAGGTAAAATCACAAATGTGAAACATTACATCCATTTAGCACCAGAAATTGCATGTCAACAACAACAAAAACAAAACCACCATTACAGATAGTGGTGACGCAAGATTTTTAAATGAGAAAACAAAAGCTACAAAGGGACTGAGATAAATAACAAAGCAGAACACACGACACACAAAGATGCGGAAGGTTCGAATGGGTTTTGTACTACAAAGTACATACAGATGGCGAAGTATATCAGATTTCCCGGGCACCGGGGAAATAGAAACGCAGTGAACAGTTGTCGTGATCAATACTCTATGACTGGTCCATAGAGCCTGCATAAAGATTAACTGTCGGTGAATGAAGTTCTCTACAGGTGCGATTTGCGAGTAATGCCCCTTCAACAAGATTCACAGATTAAAAGTCACGTGATTCGAGTTAAATGCTTATAGACAGTTAAGGACTTTACATGCAATATGAACTGCTACGTTTATTTTCGCTTTTCCTTCGGCTTTGGATAAAATTATTGTCAAGACATCCACATGATCAGAAAGAAGAGAACTCATTTTTTAGTCTACCGGGATTTTTGTTTCTTTTTTTCTTCAAGATGCCGTGGAAATTACTGTCAAGTGTGATACCTTTATTTATTGTCTGGGATGTAAGCTTAAACTTTGCCAGCCCTACACACCATGTATTTCACTGGAATCGAACTAATCCACTGTAAGTACATAATTCTTTTACAAATACCTCAAGGTATAAATTCTACCTATTGTTTGGAAGAAAAGACTCATTATGGGAATTTGACTTCCATTCTTTTTTTTTATGTTCATTAAGAATCTTAAGGTAATTCATGCCAAAATCTCAAATACCACCAACGAAACTTTGAATAAAAAATTACAAATATTTCAAAACACCAGGTCCAGAGACAGAATTTTTAGAATTATACAGAACCTTTTATATAATTTATATATATATATATTTTAGAACAAATTCAGTTTAGTTTTATTATTATTTTTTGTTAAATGCAAAATAATAATAATATTCAAGAAAAAAATAATATTATTCTAAGCATGGCATGATGCCATCAAAATTAATCACTACTGTCCCTGATATTTTGTTTATCTCTAAATTGTCTCTTCAAATTTAGAAACAATGTTACAGTCCTGCATTTTAACAATGTAACAGATTTGAATTTGATATTGTGCCGTGTACCCTATACAGCCTGAGATGATTTTCTGACTGAATGCAGAACTGAAACTTGAACTGGAATTTAAATTTTCTGTCTGCCTGTTGCTGACGAGTTTTCTATTGTTACATGCTTGACAGTAAACTTTTTTGAGTTTACCTCGGAGTGAAACCCCCGGAGAAATAAAATACTCAGAGTATGGGGACCCCACTCATTTAAATGTTTCAAACTGTATAAACTTTGGACCATTAAAAAAAGAAAAGATGATCTTGAATCTATGATCATTTGCTGAGAAGATCTCTTTTTCCCAAACCAAAGAGAGAGAAAGAAAGAGAGAGAGAGAAAAAAAGAGAAAGAAATGTTCCCTAAAGAGCACTGGGAATTCAATGATGATAGAGCTAGCAAAGAGATTTGTGGCATAAATTAGATTAACTTTTCATGAAGCAGAATACAAATAAACATGATCTATGTAAAATATTCCTGTATGTTGAAAGTCAGTGAGAAGTACCCCACTACATATATACTGTAACAGCCAATTTACACAAAAGATTACCTGCATAAGTATATTTAAGAGATTTGGAAATTTTGGGAGTTTTAATCTGTTTTTCCATTGGAAATTAAGGTGTCTAGTCCCAGATAACCAGGTGTGAACCAGGTTTTGATAAACTTAAAACTTTCCTTCAATATTAAATCATCCATTCAGTTGTACAAGACTCCTCCCTATTTTTTTTTTCTAGCTCTCCATTTTACAGAATATGCACTGTATGTAAAAAAAAATCCTAGTTTTGTTTTTAATAAATCACTAACAAATGTTCAAAAGTACAAAACCCACTATAAATTCAATTATTATGTTTTACCAGACAAAATTGAGAAATTATGAGGCAAACACCTTGAAGCGTTCTATATCACTAACAGGTCAATGGCTCATTAGAGCTAAGGCTAATGAATTAATTTGCTGAATATTTTAATTTCAAATTTTGACAGAAAGTTTTCTATGTTAAGATAGGCCCATCTCCGTGTTTTATGAGGTTTGACCCATTGGGCATTGATTCTAGTTAATCTTTATGTGTAAGATTTAGAAGAATTTGAACAGGTAACAATTCACTGTTTTGTAAATTTGGCCTCAGGATAAATTCATAATACTAGAAAGAAAATAAAATAGATAAATGGAAAAGATATTTGTCTCTAAGCTTTTAATAGATATCAGTTTTTTCAATATTTTGCAAGTGTAGAAAAGGTAAAAAAAAAAAAGAAAGAAGAAGAAATGTTTAGAATTTTCTTATTACTTCTTTTACACTGGATTTTCTTTTGATCTATAAAAGAGTTTCCAAGCTAAGTTTTATTTATTAGGTACTTAATTGTCAACTGCTGTCATGTCAACAAATTCTTCTAACCATATTTTTTTTCATGATAACTAAAATAAATTCTTGTTTTATTTTGTCAAAAATATACTTCTTTAGAATATGGTAAATAGAAAATTTCAGCCCATTTCAATAAATTTATTTCATGATACAAACAGAAGAAAATAATTTTTTTTTTTCAGTGTTCATTCATCATCTTGGTCAAATAAACTTTTGACACTTTAGCTTTCAACAAATAGAAATTGTCCAGCACTTGTCGTTTTAAATCTTTTTACAGACAGTTACATTTCCTTCTTGATTTTATTTTGACACGTCCATCATTTCGTTTGTTTTGGGTTTTTTTATTAAATAAAAAAAATTGACATGTCCGTTATTTCATTGATGGGGGCAAATAGAGTCAGAAAAGATAGTCTTTTTAGAAAGGTTAATTGAGCATACCTTTGTCAGTGAGAATAAGGGGAATTTTAAAAGGCGATTACCCTGATATTTGTGTTTAAATCGACTGTGTAAACATTGGGGGATGAGGGCTGGATACGCCCGCAGAAAGAAAATGCAACATTTCTGGGGGGATGATTAGGTATTTGGTGTCAATGAGTAATTCATTAATCTTAACAACAAACATTTTGAGGTCATTTTATCCTGTTAATTTTATATTTATTTTTATGAAATTGTGAAAATGAATTCTGACAAAAATATTTGACTTTTTGACAGTGATGTAAAGGACATCACGGCATTGCCATAATATAATGTCATCTTTTTCATAAAATGCAGTTAAAAAAAAAAAAAAATCCTGTGTTGATCCTTATAAATTTTTTTGTCTGTTGAAAAAAAAACAACCTTTTTGTTATGACTGATAAATTTATCCACTATTAATAGGGTGTGACAGTCTATATCTATCACATGATTAAAAAGTGTGAATTAACAAATGAAAAAGGACTTAGATAGAATTAAAACTTATTGATACACGTAGTGAATTACTTCACCAAAACATTCTTGGTCTTTAACCATAATGATGACTGTAAATTTAAACATTCGGACTGATTCCTTACGATAATATTGACCTAGAAAAGTTTTACACCTGTTTGAAATTCAAACAAATTAAATGGTCAGTTTGTAAGGACAGAACTAGAGGTGTCGAATGAGGGGGGTATTTGTATTTGAAAGCTGGGGATCAGTCCCCCTTAATCTGCTATGAAAACAAAATTAACCTGTTCCGAAAAGTAATTATTGTCTGATTTAGATCATATTTTATATAGACGTTGTTGTGTACATGTACATATCTAAAATTAAAAAGCACATGCATGGATCTTATTATAATATCTTAATTAAATAAAAAAATGTGAATAATAATGAAATTAAGGTATATTCATTTAATATTTTTCTTCAACCTTGTTTTGAAGAAATTGCATGTGTGGGTGTAAAAAATTTGAATCAATAAAGAAAAAAAAACACAGCTTGCCTTTTGTTGATAGAAATACAGAACCGATGGATAGAAATATTTTTTGGTGGTTATGCTTAGTTTTTAATAATTTAAAAAAAAAAAGCTCAATTATATTTCTAACAGCCATTGTTAATAAGAATCTCTCCAAGAAAATGTACTGAGTGAAAATGCTACAAAAATCCCTGTGAGAAATAAGTCATTAATTTAGATTGGACACACCTTCAAATGTTTCAATATCCTGACTTTTAAGAACATGGGGTGTGCTCCAGGGTGGTAAAAAGTTAATCTGCTGAGTTTAGCATTGTTTTGAATGCCCCCGAGACACCGTTTCAGGTATTAAAGATTTTTACTATTAATTATTCCGGATTGCCACTGCATGAAGCAGTAGGAAGCCATTATCTGCGATTGTCTTTACCCCGTGACCAAGACAGCCGCTTGACGATTTTGTGTCGTGTACCTGACTCTGTTGCCATGGTAATTGGTTAGTTTGTATCCAACTTCATCATCATCACCTGCGAGACCAGAGTAATAAAACTGTCTTAAAGACTTATAATAACGTCAGCCATCAGCTCTGATTAAGTTCTCTTATTTAATAGCTTTGTGTGGAATATTTCCTCTAATTTGTTTTAAAAAAAAAGAATAATGAAAAATTCTATTGTTATTTATAACAACAGAATATTATGAGAGAACCATGTATTATTCAATATATTTGAATAATTTCTATACTAGAATGAAATATATTTTGCAGAAATAATATCATTCCAGTATCAAATACGAATTTTGTTTCAATATTGTATTAATGAATTAACCGAAACTTAGCATTAGGTGACAGTTTATAGTAGATGAGTCTGGAATTTCAAACTTCTCCAGTTAAAACATAAATAATTTATTTCACTCGTAAGTAATGCCAACATTTCCTAAATAAATTAACATTTCCCCCTCTATATAATAATTCACAATTGTGTCCAGCTCCTAAATATTAACGAGAAGATAATTCAAAGTGTAATGAATTCAAAGCACAATTTATAAAACATAATTAATGAAGTTTAATTGTTGCGTACTTTCTTTTAAAGTTGTTTTCTTATAAAAATCATGCACTCTTCTGTATCATGAAGAACAGGATACTTTCTAGATCTCGATGATATCATATTTGCAGAAGTTATGTGGCAATCATTTTTAGCCATTCCGTAAACCATAAAGCGTTATCTTTATAAATGATTTATGAAGTTCTTTATCCATATTTTTCCTGCAATAATTTTCCAATGATTTGGGGGAGATATTTTCACCAATTTTAGGGGGAAAAGGACAGGTCCTCAAATTAATGTTTCACTTAATCCTTTAGACACATAAAAAAGTGAAAATAATGTTCCCTTCGTATTGTATTAATTTCTTGGTGATGGAGAATGGATATAACATTGGTTTGGTAATTTCATCTTCAGTCCGGAAACCAACCATTTATAATATGTACGATATGGATTTTCTGTCATCATTATGAAACATACGGTAAAATAAATTGATTTTGGGACTCCGTAAAAGTAGCCTATTTCTAATAAGGTCAACTTTGACAATTTTTGTTGCACTAGGATAATTTTAAACATTTTGTTTCAGGTGTCTATTTACTTGAGCTGAATCCCAAATCTCATTTTAATGTCAAATGTTTCGAAATTTGGAAGCCAGTTTAAAAGATTTTAGGAATCTAAGTTAAACATGTAGATTAGATTTAAGCCTTACA